TATATAAATACTTAAATTTGATAGTAAAATGCACAATCAATTACTCTATATATTCAAGACTTCTTCACTATGGCTCAAACTCCAGAAAATACTAATGTAGATGTACTGGCTCTCAATATAGTATTATTCAGTTCAATATTACTTACCCAATTACCCATTAAACTTAATGGTACTGTCAACTTTCCCAATTGAAAAGAAAACCATTAACAATGTTACTTGATGGCCATGATGGCTCTAAGGGAGCACCCTGTAGGGCCTTCAATTTTTTATATTTATAATTAGTATCCTCAATTTTTATATTTATAACTAGGATCCTTAATTTCTATAATTTCATAAACTTTTAGTTTTTGACCCTTTTTTCATTCATCTTATTAATTCATTCAATTTTGATTTAAATTTAATTAATTTTTTATATTTATAATTAGAGCTCCTAATCTTTATAATTTCATAAAATGTTTAGTTTTTGACCATCGTTTTCCATTTATCTTATTTATTTATTCAATTTTGAATTAAATTTAATTATGTTTTTCTCTTTTTCCAAATCTTACTCTTCAATTTATCAAATATTATTTGATTTTTAGTCTTCTTTAATCTCAATCTAACAATAAAATAATATATAGTTCTTTTTATTTATTTATTATTCAAAATCAAGCTATGCATCATACATGCATTCAATTTTTTATATTTATGTTGAATTTTAAGGTATTTTCTTAATAAAATAATAAAAAAAATAATAAGTTTTCACAAAATTTAATCATTTTCTATGATATATATATGTAATATTGAATTAATCGTTCAAAGTAATAAAATATACTTCCATTTTATAAAGGTATTTTTTTAATTTTTGCTCAAGGCTCCGAAAATGTTTGAGACGAATCTGGCCTTGATCTTACAGGACATCTTATAGGTACTACACCTTTTTCATTGACAATTTTGATAAACGAAATTAAACAAGAAAATCATCCTTATGTTGAATGGTTTGGCCAAGATCATGTTATCCAATTTGTTATTGGTATTTACTACAGATGAAAACGACCACTAATGAATTTGTTATTGGTGACCCCATTTAATTAAAGAGTTAACAAATAAAAATCTAAGTGGTCTTGCTCATAATTTCAGAAATCTTAACCTCACAATGCCTTGATTGAGTATGAGAAATTGTTTAAAAAGCTTCTTGATCATGAAATGTTTCTCTAATATGAAGATAAGTAATACCCATCCATTATCACATCAATCATAAAACTCCATTCAAGAACACTACTTACCATCCAAACGTTCGTTGAAGTTCTTCAACTACATCATGCTGGAAAACCAGACTGCTGCAAAACGAAACATTTGCATTGATTGGAAAAATATACAGTGAAATATATAAACAAAGAACCAATCAATCGTGTCGTGGTATTAATTACTGTCTTAAAAGCGAATTCGTCTCGATATACATAAACGCTACAATGGATGAATAGTTCCTGAGGTTAGCACGACTTTTTAAATTTTGTACACCCGAAAGATGGAGTGAACTCTGACGACATTACTCTTCTCTCGAAATTCTGAAACAATAAAGCTTTTAAAGAGTGAAGAAAATCTTTTAAAGAATGCAAGATAAAAGTGTTTTTTCTTCAAACCTAATAGCTAAAAATCATTGATATTTATAGGCTAAGATTATCAGCAAAAAAAAAAATTCAATTGCAATTAAGCTGCTATAATAGTCGTAAATAAATGATCATTACAACTACAATAAAGTTGTAATGAAACAATTGTAATACCTTATAAATACCCAATTCAAGTTTGGATAAAGAGACAATAAATTAACATTAAAATGATTTAAATTTGAGTATTACCAATATTCTCCTACTAATATGAAATAATTCTTTCGTAAAAAATGAGAGCATTGAAGTCAAAACACAAGAAGAGAATAGGAAGATTAGTTGTTTAAGTACTAATGAACGTATCTGAAACTAGTACGCAGTGATAATGAGTAATTCTTCTCTTAGATAAGTGAATAAATCTTGAACTTTCTAAGATTATGGTGAACTCATAACACACAACTAACCCCTTTATTCACTGAAGTTGTAACACATTTAACCTGGCCCAAAATTCAAATATGAATCGACGATGTTACATTAGACCACCGAAATGATCCTACAAATAAAAATCAGAAAGATACAATTTAGTTAAAAGGTTAAAACCAATAATGTTAGTAAAAAAACAAACATTTAGAAAAGGTGGAACTCTTTTATTTTGAAAACCAAAATGCGTAAATAAATAATTTACGACAAACTAGAATAAAATTATAATCTCTACACGCCCACTGATGTCCTCATTGTTGTACTATGATACCACTACAGCAGAATAAGCCTATAGCAGCGTTTTTAGACCTATAGTAGCGTTTTAAAGCGCCATTAAATACACTCCCGACATAAAAAAAATCACAAAAAATGTTGGCCAAACCAAACAAGCACCGCAACTGTTAGCGGCGTTTTATGATCACAAACACAACAAAAAGTCAGGTTTTTTAGCGACGTTTTAAAGCGTCGCTAAAAACACTCATAATATAAAAAAACCACAAAACACACCAGCCAAATGAGCGCCACAACTATTAGCGACATTTTATGATAACAAACACCACAAATCTTTACTGGCATTTTGAGTACAAACGTTGCAAAAATTCAAGTTCTTTAGTGGCGTTTTCGATACAAACGCCGCAAAAAGTAAGGTTTCTTAGCGGCATTTTTGTTTCGCTAATAATTATGTATGTAGTGCCCTTTTTACTCAAATGCCGCTAATTATGTACTCCATTAGTGACGATTTTCATCCTAAAACACCGCTAATCACAACTGATTTTCAATATGTTTTGTTCTACTTTGTATTACCCAAATTTAACGTGTAAGAATATCCAATAACAACCTTGAAATATAATTACAATTCCAATTAAATAAAAATATGAATAATTCAAAGTTTACAAACATCCAACTACAATATAACGTAGTTCAACATTGTTCACTAGAATAAAAAAACATTAATCTAAGAAATCACCTAAGATGAAGAATTTTTCACTTGATTTTGCTGCTTCATAGCTTCAAGTTGATTTTGAAGTTCTTCATATTTTTTTTCTGATATGCTGCTTTTCTCTCTTCAACTTCGGCTTTCGTTTGATAGTCGTCGCTTACCCTTGACAAATCTATCCAACTCTTATCCATTTCGTATTTCTAGAAAATCCATTATAAAAATAAAAATAGATTAATAATCAAACAATACAACAACAACAACAAAACCCTATTCCTATATGCAATGGGGTAAGGGGATGTAGGGTAGTAGGCTGCCCCCAACGCCAGGATTGAGAGCAGCTTCCGTGAAAGACCTCCGAGAGTCAGAAAATTAAAAATAAAGATAAAATGCAATGCATGTATAAATAAATAAATAAATACATAGTTGAACAGTCTTCATATGCAGTCTTCATATGAGCGTCTGTAATAGGAATTAATCCCTATAAATAAATCTCTGCGTAAAAATCTCTGCATATAGACAGAAACGTAACACCCGCCTAAATTTAAAAAGTGGAAACCTGATAGCAGAGTTTGGTGTCATGTCCCACAGAGTCCTACCAAATGCCCATCGAAGCATTCTCATTTCTACGGCCTCCATCCTCCTTACGTGATCCTTCTTGATTGCCCAACATTCTAATACATACAGCAACGCTGGTCTTATTGCCATTCTATAAAATTTTCGCTTAAATTTTAGAGGCATCTTCTTGTCAAACAATATTAGTGTAAATAGTGTCATGAACATAAGGCATATGTTAACTTCTGTCCTAATCAATAGAATAAGTTAATGAAAATTGAACATCAATTAATCAATAGACTAAGTTAATAGAAATATTAATTAATAATGTAAACAGTATGGTACTAGCATGTGGCATATGTTGACAATCGAATAAGTTAATAGAGTATTGAATATTAAATAATAGTGTAAATAGTATTGGATATTAATGTGTAATGGTTAAAATATTAAAATGCATCAATTGTTGAAAAGGCACTGCCATGAAAATAAGCCAAATTAAGAATTAGAAGATGAAATCAAGCCGTTAACTTAATAAACAAAATTACAAATGGAACCAGTCAAAAAAGTATCATTTTCCCTATTTAGGCAAAAGAAACAAATTCCACTCATCTCTAGATTCATCGCAATTTCATAGTTTGCTAGACTTGAATCTATTCAATAAAAATCCTTTAATCTTTAGTTATTCCTAATACACTGTTAATCTAAATCAGTTATTCCTAAGACACTAATAACGTCATTCTAAATTCCCAGGTGTAGTTAACTTGTTCATACAGAGTTCTTTACATTGAATCAACTCTGCAATTTTCCATAAAAATTGCTGTGAAGTATGGGATCTTTTTGCTTTAAGTACCAATATCTAATATTTATATCCAACACACATTTGGGCATGATCATTCAAACATCCTCCAAATATATTAAAAAAGCTAGAAAAAATTGAACATAGGACGCATACTTGTATCCGGCATACCCAATTCGTGTAACACAAGTCTGGCCTATCAGTTTGGCCACAAAAGTTTGTAGCATGCTATACTTTGTACCTAACAACTTCACTATCCAGATGCTTTAAGACTTCATTTATCGTATAGCATTAAAGAGATCGCTAGGTCTTCTGTCCTATGTTGTTAAGACTCTTCATTTTTCTTATAGTACTCGAGTCCAACATTTGTATCCGCGGTATGAAAAATCTCTTGAGGATAACAAAAAAGACCAACTGATGTAGTGAAAGAAGATTTATCCGGAAAATAAAACCAAAGAAATCAATTTCTCAATAGAAATCAATTGCACCAAACTAAAAATAAATTAACAAACAGACCAATGCCACAACAATATAAAGTTCCTATTAATGTTTATTGTTTAGAATTGATTTTATTTTGAATTGATTATCTAAATATTTTGTTGCAAGAATGATCAATGACATTGGTAGGTATTATACCTCGGCACCAGAGGACTTATCAGAAGAGCCTAACGTTCCACAAGCAAAGCACTGATGTTGATTATGTTCACAATTCTTGCATAAGAATGTTTCCAATGCTTGCCATTTAATAGGGATTAGTAATTAGAAACAAGACACCAACAAATAAAAGCCAATGAAGTAAAAATGGGTCACTAGCCGACTTTCTCTTGCTTCGGATTAAGGCCAAGAGATTCACACGCAGACTCTTCATTAGTAGTAGGATGAAATGATCTCATACACCTTCCATCACAACATATAATATTACCTCCATTATCACAAATAGCACAAACTGATTCATACAAGTCATCTTCGTCATCATCATGATTGGAATCATCTAGCTTATGGTCTTCATCATAGTTGGAATCATCTAGCTCAGGGTCATCAACTGAATCATTAACTATAAATCCAGAAATTGATGTGGCTCGAGTATTCTGACTAATCAACAAGGACACTTGATCAAGATAATGTAAAATTTTGAGAATATAAAAAACTGAATAGTCAGAGTTGAAAAGGAAATAAACCAAGAAACATCGAAGGCAAATATCCAACCTCATTAGCAAGTTTCCGCTTTTGGGCCTCTCCATCGAAAATGAGCGTAAAAATTGTTCACAATATAAAATTACATTGACTTCAATGACAAAAAGAACCCGAAAGATAGAAACATCATTATAAATAGCTACAATGCTTAAGATGAATCTCTCATGTTTTACAAGCCAAAAATCATGATATAAAAATCATCGCAGACTAAGACGTGCTAAATTCGACACCACAATATCCAATGGAAAATAACAATTAAATGCAACAAAATGATTTTACTATATTACGACATACAAAACTTGGATTTTGCTAATGAATCATCACTTTTAGCAGCCTCGGCAATTAAATCCATGTGATCCACCAGATCATTCTGTGAAGATTTTACCTCATAAAAGCTCCAAACAATAGAAGAAAATTCTTTTAAAGAGAAAAAAGGACCTTCGACAATTTCAAATGGAAATAGGAAACATGCTCCCACAAGAGCGATCAACTACCTAAAAGTCCTAAACTTACCGATCACATGAATTGAAGGGTAGTCAATTGGAACTGAATACACATTAGCTAGCACTTTTAGGCGGCCGAGACTTCAATTCCCGAAGTGCAAACCCTGGTATTATAATTACAAATTTTATCTTCGGCACGTTGCTGAAAGCAGACCCCTACAAAAATTCAAGAAAAAATAGTCAAATTTCAAATACCCACATCTTGATTCTTGATCATCAAAGAACTTCAAAGGGCAAACCTCTCTTTGCAGTTAAGGAATTACAGATGCAAGTATTCCACCCTGAAACCGAAGCATTAATTTTAATTAGAAAACTGAAAAGGATTCCTTCCAGTGATTCCACGTACCAATTCATTTACCTGAGAAAAACCCAGTAAACCTTCGAGGGTCCATGTTTAATCTTTTTGAAGCTTATATCACAGTGACAGAAGCAATCGACGGTGCTGGAAGCGAGGATGGCTGGGCTGACTCGAAACAGTGAGGAAAACTTGATGCGTGTGGCGGTGAAGGCCACGACGACGCCAACGACAGCTTCATGGGTAAAGGGTAAACGGCGGAGAGGAAAACAGGCAAGAAAAAATAAGATCAATAATTGCTAAAGGGGTTGAACGATAAAATACTTAGATTTGGCGGCAATTTTTCCAATAAATCATCGGTATATTTATTGATCTAACACCGATCAGATTATATTTTTCGATCTAACACTTGTAGCAGTAAAGCGCGCCACGTGGTTAGAGTGCGCCTCTGATCCGCGCTATATATGCGTATATGACACGTGGGATATAGTGCGGTACAGGGCGCGCGCTATACCCCTAAATAGCCTACCCCTCACATCCCAATCCTCCCTATAAATATCCACATCCTTAATCACTTTTATCACACCAAATTTCTCAAATTCTCTAAATTTCTTTCAAATACTTCTATTTTTAAGGTATATTTTATAATATTTTTACTATTATGTATTTACTTTATTTAATATTTTACTAATATAATTCTTTTGCAGATATATAATGGAAGACAATCTACTTTGCTCAGATGGAAATCATATATCTCTACACTTTGCTGATACGGTAACATTTTAACGTTTTAATTTAATTTAAATTATTAGTAATATTTAGTTGATTTATTTAATGCATGATTATTAGATTAAGAATTAAATATCTCGACATTTTGCTGATACGGTAACATTTTAACGTTTTAATTTAATTTAAATTATTAGTAATAATTAGTTGATTTATTTAATACATGATTATTAGATTAAGAATTAAATATCTCGACACTTTGCTGATACGGTAACATTTTAACTTTTTAATTTAATTTAAATTATTAGTAATAATTAGTTGATTTATTTAATGCATGATTATTAGATTAATAATTAATTTTTGTAATTATTTATTTTTAAGAGAAGGACCGTGTATTAGATCATTTTATTAGGAATCTTAAGTTAGTGATACCCAGCCGTGTCTTGCCGTATTTAGTAGAGGCTGGATTCGGTTATATAGGTAGATATCAGGGTCACTGTAAGATAGAGCCATACCTGATTTCTGCCTTAGTAGAGCGGTGGAGGCCGGAGACCCACACATTCCATCTTCCGTGCGGAGAGTGCACGATCACGCTTGAGGATGTTTCTATGCACCTGGGGCTTCTAGTGGATGGAGATGTGATATCGGGGATAGCTTCCGGTTCTTGGACTACTTTGTGTCGGGATAGTCTAGGGCGTGTCCCGGAAAATTTTCGGAGGTAGAATACCGTTAAATTGGTTAGATGCAATTTTCAGGAGTTGAGCGTAGACGCCTCTGAGGATGAGGTTAAGATGTATGCACGGGCATGCATACTGCAGCTGATAGGAGGGTTGCTGATGCCGGAAAAATCGCGCAACCTAGTTCACTGCATGTGGTTGAGACATCTTAGCGACTTTCGTCTCGCCGGATCATTCAATTGGGGCTCGGCAGTTTTGGCTTTGCTGTACAGGGAGATGTGTGGAGCCACTGACTACAGACGTAATGCTATCGGATGTCTCCTGCTGCTGCAGTCTTGGGCATGGTATCGATTGCCCTTTTTATGTCCCGTTGTGAAGAACCCATTCGTATTTCCACTACTTCTGAGGTAATTATAAAACTGATTTTGTATATTAATAATTTTATACAGTGTATAACAAATATTTTTCCTTAAATAGGTGGTCTACTGATAGGAAAAATCATCAGGAGCTACCTGATGATTTAGAAAAAATTAGGGTGCTAATCGATCAGAAGGCTGGCACACAGGTATGAATTTTAATGTTTAAAAATCGATTTTAGATTATAGTTATATAATTAGATTATTATTTTGATAAAAATTATATATTATTTGTTTTAATTTGAATGGGTGCCATATTCTACTGATGATGTGAGGGCGGTGATCCCACCTGAGTTGAGGGGATCCATTAGATGTTTGGATGGTGATGGTCCCTTTGATCTGTTATGCGACCGTCGAGTGGCACTCCACTGATCGCGTGCTCCGACAGTTTGGTTGTTTTTAACCAATTCCGGAAGAACCTCGCAATATGGACGAGTTGCATAGCTTAGATAGACGCGGCAAGACAGATACAGATTGACTGGTGAGGCATCATGAGTGGGTCATGTTGTGAGAGGATCGACATCGGCGCCTTCCACGTAGAGAGCCCATTTTTACTGACTTCTTGATGTATGCTGAGGATTATTATGAGTGGTTCAACAGTAACGGGAAACCGTTTCTACTTCCCGAGGATGCACGAGGGCAGACCTTTCCACGACGTCGATAGAGACGTTCACCGACACAACATCATCGTCCCCCGACTCGTGGATGGAGAGCAGGTGCTTCCGGTTCATCCTCAGCTGTACCAGCAGGACCTTCCCAGCAACCACCGCAGCCATATATGATGCTGCCATCGCCTTTCCATTACCAGATGCCGCCACCGCCGCCTTCACTTGGTTTTATGACCCCACCACCGTCACAGATGACCCCTCCTGGAGGCTATTATGGGTTATATTTGCAGATCCGACTTGGGGTTCATATGCTGGATATTTGGCAGGTTCAGCCTCATCACCCATTGCCGTAACACAGACACCTCATGTACAGTTTTCACACTCAGCGATGTCTGGGTTTTCCCAGTTTTCGCAGGCCGGTGGGATAGTCAGTCATACACCTCCAGGGTCCTTATTCTATGGAGGTGCTTCATCGTCATCAGCTCCTCATCAACCTAATGTACCTGCTCAGGACGACGAAATGACGATGACGACGATGACGATGGTGACGACGATGACGACGACGATGATGACAGCGAGGAGTCAGAACCAGTGATACGAAGAAATCCTCCTCGAGACCGACAGCCACCACCCTGCAGAACACATTCGCGACGCAGGCATCGATAGATTTTTTTTATTATATTTGTATTTACTTTATTTTGTTTAATTGTAATTTTTTATTATTTCTCATTTAATACTTACTTTATTTTGTTAAATTTGTTGGACTTTTTTTAATATATTTCAGTTAATTTTGTTTATTACCATTTAATATCAGTTATTGTAATTTGATTATCATTTACCATTTAATTCTTATTGTAAGTTTGTTGTATTTAAATAACAAATTGTTATTAGTTTGATAAAATTTAATGATTGTGTTCGTTTTTTTAATCTTCATCAGCGATTATCGAATGACATTAACTTGAAGTAAATGCAAATTAAAATACAAGAATTATTATTTGATAAACAAATACATCATTTCCTCATCAATTGTTACTTGATGACAACAGAAGTGGACATGTTTTTCTAGTGTGTCCTGGGTTTCTACAATGGCCACATCTTCTGTCTTGTCTAGATCTTTCTACTCGGATTTTGGACGACCAGGCTCCCTCAGCCAAGTTGCTCGTCATGTGTCCATATCGATATCCACCATCATATGCGTTCGTCCACATTTCTTTATCGATGAGGCTGATGTAATCGTATTCTTCCTCATTCTTCGCCCGCAAATCTTGAAGCATTGATTCAAACGTTCGAGGAAGTAGTTTGTAACTGATCTTGGTTGACCCCTCCAGCACAACATGTGTGAGGACCGTTGTATATTGTTAGTTCCCATATGTTGTTTTTCCTCTTCATTTTCGAAACGCGAACCATCCAATTGCATCCATTTTCGCGTCGGGCACAGTAGCATACATATTTTTTGGTCGTCGATCGATTGACTCTGGACTGAACAGAATTACGGATATTGTAATTTTTGATAGTCATCATCGCTTCTCCTTTGCTTGAAAACTCCATGCCTAAAGATAACTCACCATTATTTATTGATGAGTAATATCCATAGTCACCGAGATGAGGCATATCCGCAAATTCTGGCCCGTACATTGCACCATAATCAGCTTCATACATGTGTGCAGCAGGGTCAGTTTGTGCCACATTTCCTGGAACTTCATCATCATCGGAGTTGAATTGCGGTGATTCTGGGTGAATGAATAATCCAGTCTCAGCACCATCCGCTCCAAGCTCACGAAGCGGTTCTTCTGGTGGAGATGATGGTTCCTCCATGCTCTCCACATTTAGGTCGAAGAACCTACTACTTGCACGCCTTTCCCTTGAACTGGAAGGCATATCGACATTGAGATCGAAAAGCTCGCAGTCGAATGCCTCCCCCTAGAGCTTGAAGCCATCGTGTCAAATGGAAACTGCACATATGGTTGCGTCAATGTCATCTCCATATGGTCAAAGAAATTTGCAGATGAATGCCTTCCCCTTGAACTGGACGCGGTGTTGCCATACGGATTGTTCGTGGATACCTCTGTACATATCGTAAGGAGTTGCGGATGAATGTCTCCCCATTATGGCATTAAAATCATTACACATTATTGTAGTCGGGCTGTCAACTTGTTCAGCCAGCCCATAGTGTGAGCTTAAAGATTGACCCCGAACAACACACACTTGAACAAAATGTGCATACATCTCAATAGCGGCGTCTGAATAATTACTTTGAGCTTCAACCATCATTTGAACATCATCATTGTTCAAAAGTTCAAACACTGTATAAGTTAATGACAACAATGATGTTGGAAATCTGTACTGCAACGACGACATTCTTCTATTACTTCCAACATGAATCTTCCTTGAAATCTTCGTTATCAGCTCCTCAAGAGTTATGTTTCTCTTGAATGATATTTTAACACGCTCATTTGATTCGAAAACAACGCCGGTTTCATCTTCTCGAATTTCACCATCATAATAAACAATAGCTGAAAGTCACGCAATTGTTTGAGTTTAAAAGTGCAGCAATATTATATCCGCAAAAAAAAACTTAAACAAACCTAATTAAATAAATTATATATAAACGAAAATATAACACAAAATTTTTCTTACACATCAACATAAATAATTTAAATAATATAATTTTATATTATTATCTGCACCGCAAAACTATTTCGACGTATGCTCCCGCTTTTCAATTTTACAAACATAAAAATTAATTGAAAATAATTAGTATAATATTTTTTCAAATAATGATAATAAACAATAAGTATAAGGGTAAAGTATAGTAATGGTCACTGAACATTTCTGAA